AGAGTTTACGTCATTGGTGGACTTTAATGTTGGGGCTTTGAATTTCCTGATTTTACCATCACAATGTCCATTTCTAAATCACTTCATTACCTAAAATTAATAACTGGTGGACCTAATAATAATTTTTATTTATTAAACTGTCTTTTTTACCTTTTTTGCATCATTTTCTTTGTTTTTATGGTTTCTGTGCAACTCTTATTGTAAACAGAATAAAGATTTTCACTTTGTTCGTAAAAAAAATTATGTTTAAATAATTTTCGAATTATCTTCTGTTTGACATAGTTTATCTGCAATTTGACACTATAAGTTCAAATTTTTTTTGCGTTTTCAAATAATATTCATCAGAATTATTTCTCATTGATTGAATGGTATATAACTTATGTATAACCTATGTGCTTCAGGTTTGTTTATTTTGTAACTTTTTAGATCTAGTTTTTATTTAGTATAAATTGATGTCATACAATTTTTTTTTAAGGTCTGCGTATTGGGCTCTATCTCCTCTTTTATGTTTTAGATCCAATGAAGATTCATTAAACTGTTAATACAAAGCTGCAGAGTTATTCTGAACACCAATTCATGCGCGAGATGATACCCATCTGAATGTCATCTCCATCATCATCACTTACCTAGAATCCACCATCACAACTAGATCATCAACTTAAAACTCACCATCATCACTTACCTATTTGTCCTATGGAATTATATTTTACACTTAAAGCCATTCCAACAATTTCCAGCTCCTTTTTGTTTTTAGGATATGTATTATAAATCGAATATAACTTAAAAAGCTTTTTTATGTGACAAATAACTAAAATAATTTCTATGTACAACATCATTTACTGCTAACTTTAGACAATGATAATTAGGATTTCATAAAATTAAGTTGGGAAACTGATTCAAAAGTAAACAATCTGAGTTTGCCTTTTTGCAAGCATGTTAGAAGTACCATCACAAACATATTAGAAGTAACAAGCAAGATATCCTAATATGTAATAAAAAATTAATGTCAAAACCTAAACAATATAAAGCACTTATAAAAGAGTTTGCTATAGAAGAGGTTTCTCTGTATAGTCAAAAAGTGTAGTATTTCTGGACTTTTAGAACTATCGCTGCTAATTTTTTCTTTTAATTTTTTTCATATTTGCCAATTATCCATGTTTGTAAATATTACAAAGATGGATTATTGGTTTTGCAAAATATGGATAAAAAAGCTACTTATCCATCTTTTTCAAAAGAAATGTTTAATGTCAAGTTATAGTGTCCTTTTTTTCATTCCACTATTTATTTTAGTTGTTATTAGTAACTTTAGTTTTTAAATACAAAAGAAAAGATGCAATATTTTATGATTTTAGATTTTTTTATTTAACTTTATGTCCCAGTATAACACAGCTGAAACTTTTCTTCATGCTGGTGAAAATATAAAAAAACAAGGGCATCCTGTCCCAGCTCTATATGTATATATATATATATATATATATATATATATATATATATATATATATATATATATATATATATATATATATATATATATATATATATATCAGCCATTGGAATAAGGGTCAACATTTGGCAATGCCGATTTAACTGCCGACCTAGAAGTGTTTTAGGTCGGCGAAAATTGCTGACCTCATTTCTATGTTTTATAGTAAAACCTTTGTCCCAAATTTCTTTTGCCAACCTGATGCCAACCTCTAAAAATTTAAAGTCAGCTAAATATTGCCGACCTCATTTTTCCTAATTCCGAGGGCTGATATGTATATATATATATATATATATATATATATATATATATATATATATACATACATACATACATACATATATATGTATGTATGTATACATATACATATTGTCAACAAAATTTGGGTTAATATTCAGCAATGCTGATGCAAAGTTCGAATTGAGGCCGGTTTAAACTGTCAGGTAGATATTTGAGAAAAAGAATTATATTGGAAGGTTAATTGTAAGGATTACTTTATGATAGAATGTGCAAACTCAATTTTCTGAATTCGCTAGCGAAGGTCATTAAATACTTCTTACTAAACGCTTATAAAATTAAATCTAACCGAAAAATGTTTTGTAAAACCAATATTAATAAAGTAATTCTATTATAAATATTAGTATTATTAAAAACTTAATAACAAAGTAAAAATTAATAACAAGGCAGTATTTAAAACTCTATAAACAAATTAACAACAAACACAAATTAACAAAATCTATCTATAAATATTACTCGGCAAGGCGTGCCTTTTTAATTGATATCTGATGAAGATATGCATTTTTTCCTAGGTCTTTTTCCAAATTATGAATTCCATGCAAAAAAACATTAGCCAAACACCTATAAATATTTTTTGATGATAAAGCAAAATCATAATATGTATCCAGACAGAATGTTTATAAGTCTTTTTCTACAACATGGTCTGTGTTTAGTTTTTTTCACAAAGCAATTCTAACTAGCTGGTAAGTACACTCATGAGGAACTGTCAAATATCCTTGTGAAACCTCTTCAATAAAGTCTTTTGCTTCATTTGTTAGTATAGGTTCATCCTCAGAATAAACTAGTTCACCCTCACATTTTCTCCATCCTGCCACATAGACAGCTGAGCTCTCTTCAGTTTCTGAATGATTCACATCATAAATGCAAGTTTCAATTGAAGTCGCATCTTTAAAACTGATTGGACCTTCACATGTATGATCTTTTTTATTGGGTTGTTCTACTTCTACTAATTCTAGAAACGCTGCAGTAAATTGAGTTAAACGTTTTTTAGAAGCAGAAAAAACATCCCCAGCTGCCATAAAAGCATTTACCCCTGTTGATTGTCTGTAAACATAAAATTCTCCTTCAATTCTGTCACTTTGTAACTCCCGAAGTAAGATGTAATCAAAACTGACTAAAAACAAATGCTTGCAGACAGCTATCAATCCTTCAGGGCTTTTTTAGGGAACAAAGGCTTTTTTAGTATCATGGGTAACACATTGAATTTGTTTGGGTCCATGTCCTGATTTCATTGATTTAAATAGTTCTAAAATATTTGGAGATAATTCGAATTTTTATCTTGCACAGATCGGTTGTTGTCTCTTAGTCTAATAATTTGCCCTTTAACATTAACAATATTCCACAAATCTAAAACCTGCTGAATAAATGAGGATGTTTCATGAGCTCCTTTTAGTTTCAAAGCAGCTACTACTTTCTCATTAAATATTTTAAAAACATGTTACACATTCTGTAGTTGAAGTCTAGAAGGATTAACAGCAGCATGGGATATAGGAACTGATTTCAAAGTATTATCTTTTTCATAATGGTATAGCTTTTTGTAATTTTTTCATAATGGTATAGCTTTTTTTCAGAAAAAGAACCAATAGTTTTATTGACAAGAGATAACTTTTGGCACTTTTCAGAAATCCAGTAGTTACACAAACATTTAAGAAGATGAACTGTATCAAACAAAAGAAACCAAACAGGCTGATCATCTAATGGGTGAATGGCCTGACAGTCTAAGTCATCTAATGGGTGACAGTCATCTAATGGGTGAATGGCCTGACAATAATTCTTTTGAAAATTTTGCAGTATTGCTGATTGATTTTATGATTATCTCTTACAGATCCTAAAATAATGGCACCAATTTTTTCAGTTAAAACAACAGCTTCTTTCAAAAAACTGAATTGATACATCAATGTTAGTTTATGAACAGGTGTAATAGAAACAATTAAACTAGGTCCTCCATGTAAGCATTTCATCATTACACATAGCATAGAAGTTGTTTTAGAATCTGGATCATTTTTTGCCATCCCATATTATACTCTGTCTGAATAAGCAACTGTTGGTCTAATTTTTACCTCATTAACAATCAAAAAAGCATTTTTCTGATGATCGTTCTTTACTTTTTTAAGTGTTTTTTGTAATACAAGATTGATGTTTGTGGCAGAAATTATAGACTGCAGTTTCCGTTTACTTGGAAGCACTAAAAAATCACGAAGTTGATCATAGCTGGTGTTATAAAAGAATCAATAACAAAGCAATAATCAGCTATAGAAAAACTTTTATTACACAATAGTTTAAATTGTCTTTAATTAATAAAAATCAGTTTCTTTTGCTTGATATCATCATTGATTTTAAATTCATGTTCTGAAAGAATAATTGTTACCTTTTCAATAATATCATTTAGATACAGATTATAAGTATAAACTAAATTAACTGCTTCAAAAAATTGTGAGTAGAAAACTAAGCCATTACTGGGATTCAATATATTGCTCAATGGAACGCTGATACCATGTACAATGTACACTTATTGTAAACAATTATTGTCATGAAGTTCTCTTTAAAATCCTTCGACATAAAAATACATATGAACTTATCTTTTTGCCAAAATATTACAATATTTTCATACTTTTTGTGTAATTCTTTATCAGAATAGAATTCAGAAAGCGAATTTATTTTGTCTTTTTTAAAAAAATGATTAAGTTGCTAATCCTCAGGCTTAAATTAACGAAGCACTGACTTAGGTGTTGGTAGACAAGAAAAAGGAACATTAAAAACACTTGGTGCACATAGTGGTCGAGTATAGCCACCAGGAAGCTTAATCATTTCTGTATTTTTAAGCCAATGTTTTTCACATATAAAAAAATTTAGATGGCTCTATAACAAAATCTTTACGTGGAGGAAGCACGTTAATCCATTTCTGTTTCTCAACTTGATCTTTAGGTAGTTTAAAAACACAACACTTATAAGTTCAGTGAAATTTCCTTTACAATTCACAACTCCACATTAGTTTGGCATAATGAAAGAGATTTTCAAAAAATATTACTGTAACGTTAAAAACGGTTTCACCTTAATAATGGCCTTCGCTAACGAGGTCAGAAAATCGAACTTGCGCGTCATATAGTAGTCCTTGGTTAATGGTTAAAATCAAAAAAAATTTCAGGCTTGAAATTTATAGTTATATTATAAATATAACTTTTATTATTAGTTTGTTTAGTTAAATTTTGTTATATTTCAGGAAAGCTTTGTATATACATGCGAAAACACTAGGAGTTGATGCACAAATTATTTCAGATGCTGGCCGTACACAAATACCTTCAGGCTCTAAAACAGCTCTTGGTCTGGGCCCAGGTAAATAATAATGATAATTTTCAAAAATAAGTTAATGAAATAAAAAATTAGTATAAAAGATGTGTATAAATAATCATAAAAGTTCCCGAACTTATTGTTCAAATTATTCTGGTAGGGATATACCAATAAAATTAGCTACTGCAGATTTTTTGGCCCGTATTGCAATACCAATATTTGCCATTTTTTTGTTATGATTTTATAGTTTTATATCATGGAAACTGCAATATTTCATAAAAGTCAAATTTTAATTTCATCACTGTGACCAACGTGTTAGCAACATGCAACGAGTCCACTTGCAATAGTTGAACTGATAAATTATAAAAAAAAATTTATTGAAAATGAAAAACTAGAATTAAATTAAAAACACAGTTTGCAGTGCTTGATAGTTTTTCACTTAGTAAAGAATTGTTTTTAAATAATTAAATTACTTAACTGAATTGAAATTGAAACAGCTTGATAGATTCTTAGATAAAGACTGATTGTTTATGATGTAAGTTTTTGTTTGTATTTAATTTTGGTTCACTACCAACAAGGCTGCTAGTTACCACTATAAAGTTGGGAGTTACTAGAATATATGAATAGGGTTATAGAGCAAGGAAACAGTTTACAGAAAACTTAAAAAGTTTTAGGTTAAGTCAGGAAGGCATAATCATGGGAGAGAGTTCCAAAAGGTTGAGGTGCAGGGACTAGACGACAAACTAGGTGAGTAAAAGTTTTTCAACCATGCAGGAACAGATACAGTAAACGTATGAGGATTTGCTGAATGTTGAGTCATGTAAAAATGACTTTGAGTCCTTTGAGCAGCGACCATGATAGAATTTGTAGAAAAAAGAAAGAGATGCAACTTTACGACAATTGGAAAGAGGCTCAAGCTTTGCAGATAAAACGGGTCCAATTACGTTAACAATGCATTTTTGGACCTTATCTAGAAGAGAAAGATCATTATCATTAGAAGAAAGCCCAAATATGACAACAGTATTCTATACAGGGACTAATAAGAGATTTGTAGTTGGCAGAAAATGGAATAAACATAGCTAGACCATCTTCTTGATATAAACCTAGTTTTTTCTGTTATAACTTTTTGTATAAATTGAGAAAGTTGATTCAAAAGGTTAGAGATTTTTTTGATTTCAGAACATTTTTTTTCAGAACAGTTTTTTTTTGCTTTTTTTTTTTTTCAGAACAAAGAACAGTAAATGTTAAGTGATCAAGTCAGAGTTTTCTGCTTGCTCCAAACAAACTCTGGTCAAACTTTGCTAATGCAATCAACAAGCAAACAAACTCTGGTCAAACTTTGCAAATGCAATCAATTTTCAGATTTCAGAGTATGTCTGGTTTCACCTAGAACTGTGAGACATCAGCTGTGTAATGCTATGTTGACCGCATGATCTACTCTAAAGAGAACTAAAGGGGTTCTATGCAATGTGAGTGGGATCATGAAACAGGACGAATACATTAAAATCTTGCAATCCAGACATCTACCCCAATGTACTGCATGGCTTCCTTAGGGATTTGGAATTTACACTCAAGGTGGAGTTCCTTTTCTGGCAAATAAAATTCCCTTTGCTTAGCTTGCCAAGAAACTTATCTAACATTAATTCTATTGGAAACTTTTGGCATCTTCTCAAATGTAAGGTCAATTCAATAAAACCTATCATTAAGCGTTTCTTGATTGAATGCATACTTTATGTATGGAATCGCAATCAAGACATCCACGATATATGCCTTAGTCTCAGTAGCAAAGGTATATAAATATATGCCTTAGTCAGCAGCAAAGGTGTTTACACTAAGTATTGACAGTTGGGTCTATTAGCAGTTGGTAGTGCATAACCCAATACAGTTTGATACATAACACTTTAAATGATGTAGTTTGGTGTGTGTGTGCGTACGTGCGTGTGTGTGTGTGTGTGTGTGTGTGTGTCTATATATATATATATATATATATATATATATATATATATATATATATATATATATATATATATATATATATATATATATATAATGAATTTATAGTTAAAGTTGTATATTTGCAGGAATTATTCATGAGATATTTTGTAATGTAAAACTCTTTAACATAAAAAATGGAAGAGGGGTGATTAGGTTTACTATTTCATAATAGGGATCTTTTAATAAAAATACTGCTAAGTTTTAATATGTTGGTTTAAATAATTAATTTTTTTATGCTATTTTTTAGCGCCGGCTGACCTCATCAATAAAATTACTGGTCATTTAAAGCTATATTAACAAGAGTTAGTTGCTGTTATCAATGTTTTTGATTTTTAGAATGTTTAAATTTATATATAAATTACATATTTATACAGTTAGTTAAACTGAAACTTACTTGTTTTTCAGCATTTACGACTAAAATAAATAATAGTTCATTAAAACAAACTTGTATTTATTTATAACCTTAAAAAATTTTTCTAATTTAAAGTTTATAAAAAATAAACTGTTTAAATCATCATAAATAATAATCCCCAGTGCCCAAGAAAATAATTCCCCGTAATGTAACCCATTTGGAGGTTTGGAAGTTAGGAGTTGGTTACGATACATGGGTTAGATTATAGTTAGGCTTACTTAGGGGTTTTCCTTTAGTATTTTTTTTTTTCTTTTTTAGAGATTTTCAGTTTAAATTATTTTATCTTTATGTATGATGTACAGAGTACCACGATAAAAACATTTAACTAGAAAGTTCACGCCTCCTTCGCTACCGATGTCACAAATATTGCTAGAGCTGGTATAAAACTACGGACCTCCCGGAAGTAAGCGCTCTAACTATTGGGCCACGGCTGCTATTTATGAATGAGTCAGTCTTCAAAGAAATCAGTGACAAAAGCGCTCCACAGTTTTTTCTGCTCTTTTAGCACAAGCCTAAAAATTTTTTTTTTTATACCTGTGATTTCAAGTTTCATTATTTAATCACATAATGTTCGAAAATTAAGGTCATGTAAAGTTATAACTGATTTAAACGCATTCGTTCGTAAACGCTTATACAAAAATTATATAATGCTTTTCTTTAACATATATTTTGCATATAAAGAAGATACGGATAACTAGAATCATCACAATCTTTCATAGAACCGCATCGTGGACTTTAATCCAGTAAATCGAAAAAAACCCCACCTTACGGAGTGGTCTGGATCCGCCCCTGCGTTGCACAGTTATTAGTGCGCTTGCTTTTAAAGCAAGTCACCCAGGGTTTGAAGTGAGCTCTGATATTTAGCGCTATTGATGAACAAGGAGGCATAAACTTCCAAGTTGAATGCTCTACCGAGGCGTTCTGTGACAAGACCTTTAGGTTTTCTTGGGACACCATTCTCAAATGAAAAACTCAAATGAGTTTACTGATTTTACCATTTAAACGATTATTTTTAAAGCTGCTCCATATCTTCAGCCATTGATATTTTATACTTTGCATAACACACACATATATATATATATATATATATATATATATATATATATATATATATATATATATATATATATATATATATATATATATATATATATATATATATATATATATATATACAAATAAAGAGAGAGAGGGAGAGACAACACAACACACAGACACACACACACTTTATAAGTCTAATGTTTGTTCGAGAAGAAAAAAAATTAAATTTTGCCTATAAATACTATTTAAAGGTTTATATCTACTTTATTGGTCAACAATGAAACAAAATAGACTTAGTTGACTTCGTCGTTTAAAAAAAATGAATATTTTTATACATTTTGATGAAACAAATCTTTTATTGTTGGCATTCTTACAGTTCTTTTCAAACCAGTTTCCGCTAGTTATCCTTTCATTAATTGGATAATAAAATAGTTTATTTTATTATCCAAGTATATTAATCAAAAAGTTATTATGTGAACCATCAAGACCGACGTCATACCCCCTTCCATATTCAATGAATTTTCATATCATTAGTCACCAAAACTTGTACCCCACTCATTTTAAATATAAAGGCCATAAGTTTCAATTTTTTTTTTTTTTTTTTAGCATTGAAAACTAGGCTTACCTTGATTGACAGATTTTAAATTTCGTTTATAAAATCTTTGGCGTTTAAAAGTTAAATGATAAGGTGATTCTTGATTCATTTGTGAAAAGGTCATTACTATTTTCTTGAAACCCTGCCTGTTTTGTATTATAAATTTTATTTTATATAATATTATAAGGCAAATAAAATAAATAAATAAAAAATTAAAATTATCATGTAAAAAATTCCAGTTTTTCAATAGGCATTTATCTGCAATTTTGATTTACACACATTACTTTTTTCTCCAAAAAATTGCACCTAAAATTTTCAACCAAAACTCAAGCATTCCATTTTAAAATTAATTAATGAGCTATAAGGAATTGACATTTTAAAACAAGACAAAATAAGACGTCGTTTAATGGGTTTTTATTAGCATAGACGTTTGTTAATGGGTTTTTATTAGCATAGACATTTGTTAATGGGTTTTTATTAGCATAGACATTTGTTAATGGGTTTTTATTAGCATAGACATTTGTTAATGGGTTTTTATTAGCATAGACATTTGTTAATGGGTTTTTATTAGCATAGACATTTGTTAATGGGTTTTTATTAGCATAGACATTTGTTAATTGAAAGCAATCTTAAAGATCACAGTCAGAATATATTTTCACAGCTTCATGACTTTGAAAATTATAAATTAATTGCATTATGATAGATCTATATATAAAAGCAACCAATTTTTGTATTTGTAGATCTAGCTGTGACACAAACAAAAGCGACTGTGACTCAAGCTAATGGAGATCTAATTGTGACACAATTAAAAGCAGTTGATTCCAGTTTTTAAAAATCTAACTGTAACACAATAAAAATCAAAAAATGAATTGTTACCGATAACAACGAATAAACTGTAACCAACAGCTACGAGTAAACTGTTACCATCAGTAACAAATAAACTGTTACCAACAGCATTAAAGAAACCGTGACTAACAGCTCTATTAATACTAAATTTCAGCATCATTATAATCATTTCTTGAAAATTTTCTACCTTAAGCTGCCTAAATCAATTAAATATTTATTTATTTACACTTTTGCGGATAAAAAATTTACAGTCTTAACTTATAAAAAATAATTGGATGACCGGGGCTAGAAGAAGACAAATTTAGTCTTATAATTAAGCCCCAAAAAATGCGTCATTACTAAATAAAATATAGCTTAACAATAAAATATAGTTTCTATGTATATATCTCTGATTTAATAATATTTAAAAAAATTAGGCGTTTAAAATTTATTGTTTTTCAAAGAATAAGATTTAAGAATTGTTTTCTAAAATAAAAGAAACAAAATTTAATAAAATACTTAAATGACAAAAATAACATTTAAGTAGGGGAGAACTTGCACCCTTGATCCGTAAGCACCTTTGATCCTATAGCGTTATCTCCATGCTTACATAACTTGTTAAAGAGAGCTGATAACCAGCGTGTTATGAATGTTGTATCGTCAAAATTAATTTTGTTTTGGTTAAAAAATAGACCAATATTTAATTTATTTCTAAATAGTTTGATTTTGACGACAAAAAGTAATTTTTTTACTTTTACAAGGAACCTCATATCTTTAATATTTTTTTAAATTGAATAATTTTGCTTATGTCATTTTGTAACTTAACTATTCACCTCTTGTATGGTTGCTTTTGGTAAGCTATAAAAGTATCTTATATGACAAAAAATTTTTTTTTTTAAAATGGAGCGGGTTAGCACCCTTGATCCTAATGCGTTTATGCACCTTTGATCTTATGATCAAAGGTGCATACACACACACACACACACACACACACACACAAAATGTTTAACTTTTAAAGTAACATGTACAATACGTCATATTGTTTTTTAATACACTTTTTTCTTCTAAAATGAAGCCTTAAAATGAAGATTTTATACTATTTTGTATTTTTTTGTTCTTCTAAAACTTTTATATAATATAATTTTAAAGTATTCAATATATACAGCTGCGAAAAATAAAATAGCACCACCAACAAAAATTGGTTGAAATTAGAAATTTTAACTATTTTTGATGGTTTGAAAATCTTTCAAATACATATTTAAAAGTAAAATAGCTTATAATTTTTATAAAAAACAAAATATACAAGTTTTAATATTTAGTATTCATTTATTAAACAAAAATTCAAAAAAAAATCAAATAAAACGCGAAAAAAATAGTAGCACCACAGCTTTAATGTGTACTTTAAAATAAGGAAATATTATGAGATCAATCGTTTTAAACATTTTACAACAAATATTAGTTATTTCTTAACATATTAGTATTTTGCAGCGTGACCTTTATTGGCAATAAAGGCTACACAAAGTCTTGGCATCAACTTAACCAAGTCCTGACATCACTTTAGCGGAATTTCGCTCCATGTCTCCTTAACTACGTTCTAAAGTGACTCCTTCGTGTCGGGTTTGGCAGCAGCAACCACCACCTTTACGTCAGCCCTTAAATTTTCGATTGGTTTAAGATCTGGCGACAGTGCTGGCCACTCCGTAACGTTCACTTTATGCTCCTCAAACCAATTTTTTGCCTTCTTGCTAGTGTGCTTTGGTTCATTGTCCTGTTGGAACTCCCAGGACAACGGTATTTCATAGTCTGCATACGGCAACATCACTTTATCCAATTTATTAACATAAACGTGTTGGTCCATAATAGTAGTAATGTGATAAATGGGCCTTACTCCGTAATAAGAAAAGCATGCCCATATCATTATACTACAACCTCCATATTTAATAGATTTGATGGTATATTTTGGATTGTATTTTGCATTCGGTGGTCTTCTGACAATCGCCCGAGAGCTTTTTCCACCATAAAGCACCATCTTACTTTCGTCTGGCCATAAAATATTCCTCCGTTTTTCGAGTGGCCAATTTGAGTGTTTTTTAGCAAACGAAATACGCTTAACAACATGTCTGGCAAGTGGAACTTTTCTGGGGGTAGAGGCGTTTAATCCATTAACTTGCTGACAACTCCGAACTGCTAGCACTGTTGCATCGATGTTAAAGTCCTTTTTCAGCTCGGTAGCTGTTTTAAAAGGTTCCTTTTTAGCCTGTCGGACTGAGCGATTGGCCAGCAATGTTGAAACGTTTTCGACCACGTATTTCAGGCTTTTCTTAAAATTTTATGACATTTCTTATCATTTTATAGGAACATTCAACTAAACGACCAACTTCTCTATAAGATTTCCCTGCTGATATCAACTTTTGGATCAATACTCTTTTTTATGCACTACAATGCTTTCCGCTTTTCCATTTTTATATGTAAATGTCTCCTACTAATACTCACTAACATAAAACGTATAAAACAGCACAAAAAAACCAACGCTTGCTATTTTCACAATTATTTTTATCATTATCAGAGTATTTTACAACAGAAGAGTGTGTGGTGATATTTTATTTTTCGGTCAGAGTTGGCATTTTTGATTAAAATCGAGCAACACCAAGCAGTTTTTTTCCCAAAATGATTTGCTTTAGAAAATAAACATGTTAGCTAATATTTTAAGAGAAAAGCTATAGAAAAAATTTATTTTGCATGGTGTTTTCTTAACAAAAAGGAAAATACCCTTTGTGGTGCTATTTTATTTATCGCAACTGTATATATATATATATCCAAAAATTATGAATATAGCAAAACTATATAAACATGCTTCATTTTTTTACAGTTAAATATGGTGTATCATAAAAAAAGAAAAACCGATAGACCACCTAGAGGTAAAGTTAATGAGAATGAAATGCGAGCAGCTGTTAATGCAGTTCTTAATGGTGGTACAGTTTATCGTGTATCTAAAGAGAGGGGAATCAATTCAATGACACTTAAGAGATATGCAAGGAAATGTCAACTAAATCCATATACAGTCTGCAAATCTAACTTCATTACCATGCAAATCTTTACCAACGAAGAAGAAACATCTTTATCAGATTATCTTTTAAGGGCCTCAAAACTTCACTATGGATTGTCAACCAAAACAACACGAAAACTTGCCTATGAATTTGCAATGACTCTTTCTAAGCGGATTCCTAAATCATGGAAAAGTTTACAAATTGCTGGGAAACAGTGGCTTCATGGTTTTATGTTACGTAGGAATGAGTTATCTTTACAAAATCCAGAAGCTACTAGTATGGACCGAGCAACTGCTTTTAATTGTTATACAGTCGGAGAATTTTTCACCAATCTAAAAGATGTACGTCTACGACACAAGTTTCAGCCGCAAAACATATATAATATTGATGAGACAGGTCTCACAACTGTTCAAAAACCAGTTAAAGTAATTGCTAAAAAAGGAGATAAACAAGTTGGAAGGATAACTTCAGCAGAAAGAGGGACATTATTAACGGTTTGTTGTGCAGTTAATGCAATAGGAAACTCAATCCCTCCATTTTTTATTTTTCCAAGAGTTCATTTCAAAGGAAGTATGATAAATGGTGGTCCACCTGGATGTGTTAGAGTTGCAAACCCATCTGGTTGGATGAATGTTGCAACCTTTTTAGAGTGGATGAAACATTTTATTCGAAATGTGAAATGTTCACCAGCTAATCCAGTGCTTTTACTTCTTCACAACCACAAGAGCCATGTTTCAATTGTGTGTTTAAATTTAGTTAAAAAAAAATGGCATAACTATGCCGTCCTTTCCACCACATTGTAGTCACAAGTTGCAGCCATTAGATCGGTCAGTTTATGGGCCACTGAAACGTTATTACAATGCAGCCTGTGATGATTGAATTGTATCTAATCCAAGACCAATGACCATATATGATATAGCTTCAGTTGTAAGGAAAGCCTATGCACAAGATTTTACTTTGTCTAATGTTTCTGCAAGATTTGCTGTAGCAGGAATTGAACCCTTTAATTCTAACATATTTTCTGATAATGAGTTTTTGTCTTCATATGTAACAGAACGTCCAGAACCTATTACTGCTAACCCATTTCCAGGTGTTGTTGATCCAGCTTCTGCTAGTGTTTATGCCCCAGCTTTAAATCAATCATTGATGTCAAGTCTGTCATCTGGTTCAGCTTGTAGTGTTTTGCCTATTCAGCCTATATCTGACCCTGGAAGTCAACTACCTAGTGTTTCTAATAATATCTCTCATCAAGCAAGTTTAGAAATAATTAGGCCATTTCCAAAAGCTGGACCAAGGAAATCCATTAAAGGACGTAAATGTCAGCGTACTCGAATACTCACAGACACTCCTGTTCGAAATGAGTTAAATAAGCTTCAGGAAATAAAAAAAAATCTCAGTCAAAAAAGAAAAAACATGAAACGCAAAATAAGATTTTCATGACAATAAAAAGAAAACTTGATCTTGAAAATAATGAAAATAAAAACGTTGAGTCTCAGTAAAAAATAACATTTTTTTCATTAATTTTTACTTTTTTAAGAAAGATAAATTTGTAGTAAAATTAATAATAATAACTTTTATTTATTAATAATATTAATAATAACTTTATTGGTTTTTATTATAGACATTTTTTTGATAACTTAAAAATTATTTTTATACATTCATGGTATAAATTTGATCTCGAATCAAGTATACATACATAGGATCAAGGGTGCATATAGGTAAGATCAAGAGAGCATACTGGTATGCACCCATGATCCCAATTGAGCGTTCTTAGTTTTTATAATTTTAAATCTACTTAAGATATTCTGGTAAAAAAATGATTATTGATTTATAATAAGGTATAAAATTTGCTATTATGTACTGTTATTTTAGAGATCGAAATAAAAACATATATTCAGTAAGTTAGCATTACCAATTTTTAGGATCATGGGTGCATACTCTCCCCTATTGGTTTGAAAAATAAGAAGATATGATTTTATATAAACACATTTTATTGTTAAAGCAATTTATAGTTATCTTATTTAATTAAATTTATAATACTTTTCATTGCCAATTAAGTAAAAGCAACTGAACAGTAAAAAATAAAAATAAAAGAATAATAAATAACGCAAAAATAAAAATTAATTTCTCAAAAAGAAAATTATCATTTAAAATAATAAAAATATATGTACATATGTTAATTAGTTATGTATTAATAATCTACAGTAATTAATTAATTAACTATTAATTATTGATTTCTAATTTAAAGAACGTTTATTAGAAAAATATTAAATCATTTTCAGTTAATAAAAGTAATTGTTTAAGTTTTGTTTAAATTGGTTTAGAGAATAATTAGTTTTCAGTTCATTATTTAATATTATGTCCTAACTTTGGTCCTCGGTTTACAATAGAGTATTTAGTAGCGGAATAATAAGTTTTGGATTGAATATAGTTGTATTTTGAAAATCTAGAAGGGTATTTTTTCAAAAATTGAATAAAATAAGATTGGTAATATATTTTTATCAAGTTTGAACATGAAAATAAGAACATGATAGAGGTTTAGTTTATATACATTTAGTATAATAAGTTCATAAAAAAGTGTTTGCGTGTGTGAGAAACGACCTACGCTTGAAACTATCCTTATAGCCTGTTTTTGTTAGCTAAACATTTTTTTTATTTTTGTCGCGTTAGTAGTGCACCAAGCAATATTCGCGTAACTTAAGTAGCAATGAATAAAAGAAAAGTAAATGTTTTTTAAACAAAATCAATTTAATAACTGCTTAGCTTTGTACATTTTACCTGACTTTTTCGATATTTTATCTTCAACTACTCCTATATGTTCCCTCCAGTTTATATTTTTGTCTAGAAATATATGTGAATACAGTCAATATCACTAATCAGAGTTGTTAGTCCTTGCCCTTGGTCATAGCCTTGCCTTAAGGCCAAAAATTGAGGCCTTGGCCTTGAAACTGTTGGCCTTGGTCTTGGACTTAAAAAATACATATTTTCTTATTAATTTTGTTGAATTCTGAACATAACCTTGGTCTATTTTGAAAAAATATGGTTTTATTATCACAACACTTGCTACTTACAGTTTTGTTAATAATTGGTCTCAACGTTAGGCAAAAATTAAAGTCTTTGGCCATTAAAGTGTTTGCGTAGGCCTTGGCCTTGACATTAAACTCTTGGCCTTGTCTTAAGCCTTGTAACTTTTGGCCTTGGTCTTGTAATGCGTGACCTTGGCCCTGGCCTAGATACATTTGGCTTTGTTAACAACTCTATCACTAATTAACGAGATTTTTTTTTTAACATAAACATCATATTTAAAAATATTTAAAGTTACAAAAATAATGTGATAACTTAGTTCGAATTGATGAAACTACAGGAAAAAGTTGTAACTCTATTTTTTTTTTTTGTTGCTAAATCCTATTTGTTCAAAACAGTTGTGTCACAGTGTGAAAATTCTTGATCCTTTAAATTTAAATACCAATTTAAAAAAAATAATAATAATAAACTTAATTGTAAATAGCGTTTATGATATTTTATATGCGTATGTTATGTTTTCTTAATTGATGGTGGCTGACATTTCTAAAATGCATATTGGATTGAACCAAGTATTATCAACGCTAAATCTTAACTTTATGAGCTCAAACTTTAACAAGCTTTAATAGACAATCATTTCATCCTAACTTTAAAAGTGTTCTCTAAACAGGGTAAAAATATTCTCTGAAAATAAAATGTCTCCAGACTTTAAAACTGATTTTTAGTTCTTTAAAGTTCTTTATTCTCTTTGAAGTATCAAAAAGTTAGCCATTTAAGGAATCTAACTAATGTTGAGTATTTCTGTTGTTTTATGATTTTTATGTTCAGCTTTTTTATTTTAAAATTATAAACACGTACCTAATTATCCAATTTTCTCTTTTAATTTTGTAAATACATAATTATTCCCAAAAAAAAAAAAATTTTTATCTAGCATGTAATTTCCTACTATTCAACATTAATTTAAAACCATAAGCCATTGATTTCTACTGCCTTTATTGCCTTATTTCTTTTCTGCTCTCCTCGTTATATACTTTACCTCATTATATACTGTTTTTTGCGAAAAGTTTTTTCTCAAAAAAAATAAAGTTTTGCTTTAAACTCTAATTATTGCGTTAGTTAGACACGGCTGCTTCAAGAAGTAATTCTAAATTTTATGATTAGATTTTAATATGAATAATGAATAACTTTTTTACTCTTTTTTATTATCTTTTTATTTCTTACTTGACGATATTGCTCATGCTATAGTCACAAAAAATATTCTTTAAATAGTTGATTATGGTTGTCAAATTGCGAAGATATGATATAAATTTTTTGTTTTATGTTTCCATGGATAATTTAGTAAATCAAAATTTGTGCTCCTTTTTAGTGACTTTTTAGTTCTGGTTTAGTTAGGATTTATTAAATACAGGTTGGTGTAAAAAAAAAAAAAAAACCTCTACATTGCACTAATAGTTTAGCGGTCGTCCATAAATTACGTCACGCAATTTTTGACCTTTTCAGACCCATCCCCCACCCCTCCTTGTTTTAACTGAATATAAGGCTCATCTTTAAAAAACTTAGCAAAACACATTATTATTTTTTTATTTCCCTCTACCTGGAGAGCAGTGCAATTGAAACCAAAACTATGCACTGTACTAGCTGGCGGGGTTAGTTACTCATAATAAAAGAAACTCAAATGAGTGTTATTTGTCACAAAAGCCAACGTCTAAGTGAATGTTAGTCAAGAGAAGTTTGAATCTAGCCTAAGATTTTTCCCCCGTTAACCTCCGCATTTTGCAATCACTTTACGAGTTTCGGACGTAGATTGATAAAATCTAAAAGCCACAAAAAATTTAACATTCTTATCGACTGTAACGGATCAAATCTTATGCTATGTATGCTTGCTAACACCTCTACTACATCAAATGGGACCTAAGACATTTTGTAACTAAAAAAGGAATCACATTGTTTAAGTTCAACAAAAATCACAACAAGATAATTGTATTCCTATATAATAATCACATTAAAAGTATATAATCAAAATGCACAAAAAAAAAATCAACTATTATTAGTAGTAACAAAAGAATAAGAAAACAATAATAAGCAATGATGATAAAAAATGACAAACATAATAAGTAGTAACATTTAAGTAAGGAATTGTAAATGTTAGTGTCATTCAAACATTAATCTGTGACACCAAACTTTATTATAATAAATTGTAATAATAATACTAAAGATAAATAGATACAAATAATATTAGTAATAAATGGCATCATTAACAATTGAGTGATAAGCAAATAAATATAGTTGCAATAACTAATAGTAAATTATTTTTAGGTGTCATATAAATAAATACTAAATAACTTTGATTAAGTAAATAAATTTAACACTTTAGAAAACGAATAGCAAATTTTTTAATTTAGTTTATTTTATTTCAGAAAACTGAATTATAAAACTCAGTTTTACAAGTCACTTAATAAAAAAAGTTTGTTCACTCAGTAATAAATTTTTTTATGAATATTCGGTTAATTTTAATAACTAAAGTTTAACAAATATTTTCTACAAGCTTAAATTCGTTTTGTAAACAAACTACACCGGTGTTTACTTTTGTTCATATTGCACATGTTCTTAATTACTTATTTGGTTTTTATATAATTATTATTATTTTTGTTATCATTTTCAATATTATTATTATTATTATTACTATTATTATATATTATTATCATATATTATTATTATTTTATATATACTATTATATTTATTTTATATATTTTTATATTTAGATTTTATATTATACTTTATATATATTTTATATTTATTGTTATAATTATTATATACTATTATTATAATATACGTATTAGTATTATATTTATTGTTATCATTAATTTTATAATAATGTTATTAAAAATTTATATCAATATATATATTAGTATTATTATTTGCTTTCGCATTTTAAATTGTAAATTGTTATGAAAATTTTACTCATTCTGAAAGTATTTTTATTTTTAATCTGAATGATTAACTAATTATTGTAAATAATAACACTAATTAATTAAAGTTTTTAGAAAATATCGGAAACATTGTTGAGATTGCTTTCAATATTATTCACTAGATAGGCACAGAACGCTCTAGGGCTCAGGCCTCGTCTGAAAATCTGACTCTTGAGCGTTTTTTTAACCTGAAAGAAGTTTAAAAAAACGCTTAAAAATAATAAAACATATATAGAATGCACATAAACAAAAGCATAGAAATAGTTTTAAAAATTTTTAAATGCTTACGGTCATTTTCAAAAGTTCAAACGCATTTAAAGCGCATTTAAAACGCATTTAAAACGCATTTTGTAAAACTTCAAAAATTTCACTCATTTAATGAATTTGAAATCGAGTATAAAAACAATCTAAAAAAAAAAACAACAATGGTGATGATTTTGCGAGTAACAAAAACAACAGTGGTGATGATTTTTTTATAATTTTGCCAACGTTACTTTATTTAGGATTTGTTTTTCTTCCGTTTTTTCTAAAATATTTTCAACCACAAACATAACCTGATTATAGAACTTAGTGGCACACGCTGCTGTTGAATACTAAACAGAGATCATAAATACACTGAGTTTAGTCCAATCATAAATTGTAATCGCTCTTTGGTCTCCTAAATGTCTAAAGATCAACAAATGTCCTAAATATCCTACAAAGCCTAATAAAAGGTCCTAAATGTCTAAAGTTTCAACAAGTTTTGCTTAGCAAAATTGGGGTTTTAAAATATAAAAAATCATTGCAGTCATTTATTTGCAAAGTTCTCAAAAACCATCAATTACATTTATTACTAGCAACTATTCCACCATCATTAGTAAGTGAAAAATTATACCGCCTTATACCTATCGTTTGGCTATTAAATTTCCAAATTTTATTTGGACGGTTTAGGCAAGAATAATTTAATAGCAGTGGGGTATCTGAAAACATCCGCATATTTGAAAATTTTAATTTAGTGATTTTGGGTACGGCTTTTATCATAAATAAGAACGCTCCAAGGTTTAATAGTTTTTTAATCAAAAATTATAATTTTCAAACAAAATATAATTTTAAAGTTTTATTTAAAAAACAAGAATGTAGCTTAAATTTTGCTAAGCAGAAAATACCATCAATGTGCTGAAAGAAATGTTAAAAGTCATATGCTTTAAAATCATATGGAGTCATATAGGATGCGTGCATTGTATCTGACAAAACGGAGATGCCGTTGCAGAACTTCATTAAAACTTACTGAAAGCGGAGTTTCGTTCTTCGCTTCTACTCTAGAGGACCACAACTACAGAGAACCAACTACCTCTAGCTGGTGTAAAGTTTATTTTACATCAGCTAGCGGTAGTATCTGTTGTTTTCATAATGAGTACGTTTTACTTTTTTTATTACGTTTTACTTAATAAGGTAATTACGTTTTCTATTATACATTTTGTATTATGCGATTTTTTCCTTCTTTTTTCAATACAATTTTATTTTCAACATTTCAATACAATAATATTTTTTAATAAAACGTCATAACTCTCAATTTTGCACGCAGTATGATTAGTGGTACGATAAGATAAGTGGTACGGATCTTCTTAACCCAAGAAATAGGCTTATCTTTAGACTTTTTTTTTATTCTCATGAAATATTAATTTACAAAAAATATATTCATTAAATCACAATAGAAATCTTGAGGTTATATAGAGATTTTGATAAATTAAATTGATTGTTTGTAAGCAATATACGGCAATTTATGTATTGTTTGCTTGCTAATGTTACTTATTGAGTTTTAAAGTTATAATAATATTATCCCGCCTTTATTTTAAAGACAACTAATAAACAAAAAAGAGGATTTTTTGTCTTGTTTTGGACTCAGATCTCTTTATATCAAAATTGTTCTTATACCTTTTTATTTCAAATTGAATCGAATCTTATAAACAATAAACCAATCTATGTCTGGTTTTTGCTGTTTTTTGTTGGTTTTATTTATAGATATTAATTCTTTTAACCTTTTCTTATTCTTTGTGGTGTACTTGTCTTTTTTATAGAAAAATGGTCTTAATTATTTTCTAATTCTTAATGCTCTGTTAGACACTCGTCTTTTAAAACACCGACGTACCATTTGTGATTTGTTTGTCGGCTCTAGTTAATCCAATTATAATTAAAGGTTATTGTAATTAAAAGCAAATTTTTTGATCTAACAATTAAACATTGATCGCATTTTTAAAAAAATGTGTCTAACATCTTTTTAAACTCATAATAGTTTTTACGTTTTATCGTTCAGACACTAACTTAAGAAAAGTATTTACTACGCATTTTTACATTTATATAAGAAAATATTTATTCCAACAATGGTGAGATTTTAGAAAATTATATATACAACATTTTCTGAATAACAATAGTTCAGTTTATTCAATTTTTTTCCTCTTAAAAATAAATAATGGATTTATTTTTAGAGTAATCTCGTTGAAGAAGACATCGGACAACTAAGGGATGTTTTTGAGTATTTTGATAGCAAACACTCTGGTTTCATTTCTTCAAAACAACTAGGTATAACATTACGTTGTTTGCAACCAAAACCTCTAGACATTGATATTGAAGACATGATGCAAACCGTTGTTAAAGAATGCAACGATAAAATTAATTTTGAAGATTTTTTGAACAAAGTATGCGAAGTAATAGAAATAGCTCATATAAGAAAACAAAATAAAAGTCACAGAGCGGTAAGCTTGCGCAGTTTATATTTGACTTGATTATTGACTTGATTATTTAATTTTTCAATTAAATTTTAGAGTTGTTATAAAAATCTATCTGAAGCAAATATTCAAGAACTAAAAGATTCTTTTGGTATGTTTGACACAAATGGCGATGGGACAATCTCAATTCATGAAATGAGTGTTGTTATGGAATCTCTTGGTCACCATGCAACAGAGGAAGAGATAAAAAAAATGATGCGAGATGTTCAAACAAAAGAGAGTTCCGGAATTGACTTTGAAGAATTTATAATTCTTATGACTAGAAAAAAAAGCGCAGATGATCTCACAACTGAGCTAAAAGAGGTGGTACTATTTTTAGAAGCGGTTTTTAAAATATTTTTTTAAGAAATCAATTATCTTAGAAAAAAATCCATCTTTCCGAGTTAATTAGTAAAGAATTTAATTTTTTTGTAGGCATTTGACTATTTTGATAAAGATGGCGACGGATCAATTAGCTCAGAAGAACTGCAGACAATTATGTCAAAATTTGGAGAAAATTTAACAAGCGAAGAACTTGAAGAAATGATGAAAGAAGCTGATGCCAATGGTGATGGCAAAGTGGATTATGCAGGTTTATATACTTGTTCAGCATTTTCTTAATATAATAAAATAGTTAAAATTGAAAAAATATTTTTCCTAAGTAAAAACTATTTTTAGAATTTGTGAAGATGATGAACTTTTTCAATAACTGAAGTGCAGAAAGTGATTAGCTTATTTAACATTTTCTGGCATGAAAACATTGACAAACATCTTTGACTTGGTGTAGTACGAAGAACACCTATAAAGGTGAACTTCTTCAATTGACTTCGTTATCTTTAGAATGAATAATAGTTTATTTTATATCTAGATTATGTTTATCATAATTAAAAACAACTGTATTGTAATAAATATTATTATGATTTTAAATTGTATGATTTATTTATACTTACTTTTTGAAGTAGTTTAAACTATTTATATCGTATTAACATCATAATGTGTATGAAACTATGATTTTGAATTTTAAAAAAATATGAAATTTTCAAACTCACCATAATATTTATTGAGTTTATAGAAAATTTTACAAATTTTTTTTTTTAATTATATGTTTTCCCCGTTAATCAATCATATTTTAGCCATTTTTCCATTTAAAACAACGCTGACCCTCTCAACAAGACTTATTTTTTAATTTTTTTATAAAATCCCTATAAAATTCTTCTCCCCGTTAACAACCCCTATATTATCAGTTTATTTTTTATTACAACTACTATATATGAGCAGTCGTGGCGCAGTGCTTAAAGTTCTGGCTCAGAACCCAGAGATCCGAGATTCGACGCCAGCTCTAGCCCACAAGCGACATTGGTACGGAAGGAGGCGTGAACTTCCTGTTAAATGCTCTTCCGCGGTGCTCTGTGATAAGACCGTAAGGACTTCTGAGAGCATCTAAAATATCTACATTATATATATATATATATATATATATATACATATATATATATATATATATATATATATATATATATATATATATATATATATATATATATATATATATATATATATATATATATATATATATATATATATATATATATATGTATATATATATATATACATATATAAATATAGTAGTTGTAATAAAAAATAAACTGATATTATAGGGATTATAAACAGGGAAAAGAAGTCTATGGGGATTTCATAAAAAAACTTTTTTAATAAACCTTGTATCTTGGATAGGGTGTGTTGATTTTTTTTCAAAAACTAGTATAATAGTTTTTGAATCAAAAAAAAAAATCAACACACTCTATCCAAAATAACAAGATTTATTTAAAAAAACTTTTTTTTGAAAATAAAAAAAAATTAGTTCAATATCTTCTTTAGTTTCTATTTGGTTTATCTATTTAAAAATATAACAAACTCTAGATAAAATTGAAAACCTTTGGGCACAAGGTACTTCAGTCAAATTTTATCCAAAAGAAAACTATAATCTTTACTAATACGGCTAAACCCTTTGCAGGGCATAAATTGGAACATCTTGAAATATACCTAAATCCTACAGATAAAAATATTAAATTTTATAGACAAATAGTTCTGAAGTCCTTTACTTTGGTGCTAAAAGTTATAAATATATATACTACGCTTATATTGTTATAAATATATATACTCCGCAAATATATACTCCGCTTATATATACTCCGCTTGACCAATCAATTCATTGGATTTAGTTGTCTCAATTTTAAACAAAAGTGGCATACAAAGCAAACACCCCAATTTTCATTCCAAAGCCAAAAAGAAAAGACCTACACTGTCTAAAGGGACAATTAATAACGTTAAGCTAGTTGAGGTAAGAAAAATTAAATTTCATTCTTAATTTTTTTTTTTTTTTTTAATTGAAGCTGTGTTCTTGAGAGCCTCAAGAAAGAATCTAACAACCGTAGATGTTAGATTTTAACAATTTTTTGCTAAATTGTCTAAGTTTATTTTTAAAATTAATCACTGAAAGTGCATTCATAACATCACTGTCCAAACGATTCTATATTTCTATTATATAGTTTGTAAAGAAATGATGCCTTTGCAAAACGTTTTGGCAAGCAGTTTGTTTTCTTAAAGATTGAGAAAACAAACTGCTTTCTCAATCTTTGATTGTGTCCTCTGGTAAGCCTGCCAAATACCAGGGACGGATCTAGGGTGTCGCTACTGATGTGCGTGCATCAGTCTTTTTGCACCGCTAAATTTAAGTGTATCTCTTTTTCAACTTTTTCTAATAAAAAGTTAAAGTAGAAATTAGAATCTGATATTTACAAAAAATGAAACATTATTTAATAAAAACTCTAGAAAAGTTATTTAATGTAAACTCGATTTTATTTGATTTCTAAAGTTACCTATTCGTCACTTAGAAAATATTTCCAGTGTTTCGGAGCAACTGATGTAATTGTTCTTTTCTAAATACAAATTTGATTGGTTAAAGAAAAAATATTTTCTGCTTTAATTAATCTTATTTGTGAATTTTTATAAAGTTTTCCGATCACTTTTTGCAAAACTTCTTACAACTGTACTTTAAATCATAAATGACTAGTTTAAAAAAAAGTTTAAACCAATCATTACTTATTAAAATACAAATTGCAACAGTTGCTAAAAACCTTCCGAAAAAAAATACGAAAATGTTTCAGAGGATTGTTTTTATGAACAATAAATTGTGTAGAAAGTTTAGAACAGTTGAGTCAGTTGCTCCAATTCGTTCAAAATTTCCAAATTTAATTTACAAAGTTTTGACATACTTTCTTCTCTCGTAATTTTCGTCGTAAGACTTTGCTAGTAAATTAAATAAAATTGAATTTTTTAGTGTCAAATGCAATTAAGGCTAGGCATTTGCCAAACATTCGCAAATGTAAAAATCAGTAAACTGAAGAGAAGAAATTAACATAAACTGAGCTTGTTTTAGTATATTTTTTTATTTAAGGTCATCCGAAAATGGAAATTGCCCATGCAGTTCAGCTTCTTTTAAGCAGTTCTCTGAAAACAGTAAATTGAGAATTCTAACTACGATTGATTGAAAAGACTATGAGAGGTACTCTCTTTTTGTTAAACAGGTTGAAAACAATAGATTTTATTTGAATATTCAGATGAATATAAATTAATTAATAGTGAATTTGCTATTGAAAATTTAAAAGTAGAAGCATTGATCAAGCTAATATGTTTTCTTCTTTTTTAATTCTAATTGCTTTGTCATCAGTTTTGAATATTCATTTTAGATCAATATATACTAAAAAAAATTGAAAAACCTTTTTAATACAATTATTTTTCCTTTTCGTTTTATTAAAAATCAAAATATTTTATGGTGCAATACTGATATCATGTCAGTAATGCCAAATAATAATCACTGTTCACCTAAACATTTTGTACCAATTATTAAAAAGTCCAGACTAAGTTCATGTGATAACAAGAACTATAAAAAACGAAGCTTTCTATCCTTTACACTTTATTAGTCCTAAAACTTAAATAAATAACATTTCTCTGTGTTTTTTTTTTCACAGAAGAAGTTAGTTCTGCAAAACATGTCAAAATCCAATCTAATATTAAGTTTGAAAAAGACAATTCTTTTATAGAGTTTTATTTTGAACCTTATGTAAATTCTAAAATATTTGAGTCAATAGATTTCAACTCATTTAATATTCATTTATATAAAGACTCGAATTCTTTGTATGATGTTTTAACGTTCTTGCCAGTGGAAAAACTTTTAACCGCTAGCAAAGACTATGCATTTTTGTTAGATATGGTAAACAAAGTATTTCATTCTAATTCTATATATATTTATTTTTTCAATATCTTTCAGTACGCAAAGATCATTTAAAATTGAATGGTTCAGCCAGATATATTAAAAACTACCCAAAACCAACTTATCGATTCTTGCGGGAAAGCAATTGAGAAAGTTTTAATAAAAAATGTTAAGCATTCAATTTTTTTTCAATTCTTTGTGCTAAAGCAGTTGACTGTTCAAATACTGAACAAATGTCAATTGTATTAAGATATGTAAATTCAAATAATGAGATTTGCGAGAATTTCTTAAGATTTATTAGGAATTTATTAAGATTGTAAAGCACTGTACATCTGGTCTTAGTCTATCTCTAAATGTACTTAATTCACCTCAAGAATTGTAGTCAGGGCGCTACATGTAAAAAAAAAAAGAAAACTAAACATTTTGTGTGAACATTCTAATTTTTGTACAGATGTTTTCTATATGTTTTAAGAAGTTAAAAAATCTTTACGGGCCACTTGGAAACTGCTTATAACTTTATTTATTGACAAAAATAGTAGAAGCTAAGCGAAGCGATTTCATCTTAAAATTTCCGCCATGTTGTTTAAAAATCAAAACCGCAAAGCATTTATTTCAGTTTTTACAAATTATTTGCAGGGGGGTAACAATTTTTAAAATAAAAAGTTTTTAAAATGTTTTATTTAATTAATAACATTAAAATTTTCTAAAGCTTGTTTGAAATAAAATTTTATTCATTATTTTTGTTTAATTAACGTTTTAAGACTAAAAATTAGTTTTAATGGTACAATTTGAAAAAGCAACCGCTCCCGTTTCGTGTCTACTTAAAAAATGTTTACTTTTTAAAAACTGTTTAATAAATAAACGTGTTTATTTGTTTTTATTTATTTAAAATTATCTAAGTAAATAATGTCAAGTGAAAATAAAAGTCTCAGTTTAGTTGCTACAAAAATAATTAATAATGCTTGCATACTTCATCAAGGAAAAGATACTAATTGTATTGACAAGCTACGTGGGTTTACTGAAAATGCGCTTTCGAAAGTGAAGAATGCTAGGTAAGTTACTTATTAAATGCGCAACTTAATTCATCTCTATAAAATTTTTAAAACAATTAAAAAATCACTAATAGCATGGATTTGTAAATAGTATTATATATATTTTTTATTATAGTCAGATTCGACAAGACTTTAAAATTATAAGTGTTCTAACTGATACATGCCCAACAACTCTCATGTTTCATCAAAGATGTTACGACAAATACGTACATATAAAAACAATAAGCAATATACAACATAAACAAGGTAGAGCAGAAACAGCCCACGATAGTGTATGCGTGGTTGATAAATTCACATCTGAGCGCAGAACCTCAACTCGAAAAAGAGATAGATCAGGTAAATTAAAAACCTTTGGGCGGGAAATACAAATCAAAACAAGCTACCCTCAGTTTTCCTTTTTTGACTGTTATATGTATTACCCTATTTTAAAGGTAAAATAACTCCATTGTTTTAGGAAAAATTATTGCAGATAAAGAATGCTGCATTTGCTATCGTAAGAAGACAAATAAAGATAGGAATGGATATGAAGCGCTAACAAAGTGCGTAACAGAAAATGCTGCAAAAACGTTAAAAGAAAATGCCTTATGTAAATCTGATATCCCAAGACTCATGGCTAGCGTATCGGGCGCAGAGTGGCAAAGTATTATCTCCTTAGAGTTACACTATCATCGATCTTGTTATGTTAACTACACGAGACCCCTTAGAAATCCTTCTGTTAT